GGGGGTGTCCCGGGGGTGTCCCCGGGTGGGGGGACCCGGGGCAGGACTGAGGGGTTCCGTGGGGATCCCCGAGGGGGTCCGGAGGGGGGGAAGGGTCAGGGCGGAGCATGGCCAGGCGGCCCCCGGTGAGTCACCGTGACCGCCCCGTGCCCCCCCCGCGGCCCCCCCGCTGGTTCGTCCCGCCCCCGCCGTGCCTATCCCGGGCCGGGCCGCGCCCCGGCACTGCCCGTTCCGCTCCGCTCCGCTCCGGACCTGCCACGAGCACGGTGAGTGCGGGGGGGCCCCACCCTGTGCCCCTCTTTGGAGGGACCCCATCAGTGCATCCTGGTTTGGGGGCTTCATTCCTGCACCTCATTTTGGGGAGACCCCATCCCTGCACCCTCTTTGGCGGGGCTCAGTCCCGCACCTCATTTTGAGGGGTCTCAATCCCTGCACCCCACTTTGGGGAGGCCAATCTCACACCCCTCATTCAGAGGGGACTCCATCTCTGCACCTCGTTTTGGGCGGAAGACTCAATCCTGCACCTCATTTAGAGGGGACCTCAGCCCTGCACCCCCTTGATAGGGGGGCTCAATCCTGCACTCCACTTGGGGGGGGATCAATCCCTGCACCTCATTTTGGGGGGACCCCATCTCTGCAGTCCCTGTGGGGCTCAGTCCTGGCCCCCGATTTGGGGGGGGTCCTATCCTTGCCCCCGATTTGGGGGATCTCAGTCCTGCCCTGCGATCTGGGGGGTCGCAGTCCTGTCCCCCGATTTGGAGGGTCCCACCCCTGCCCTCGATTTGGGGGTCCCATCCTTGCCCCCGATTTGGATGGGCTCAATCCTGCCCCCCGATTTGGAGGATCCCATCCCTGCCCTAGATTTGGGGGTCCCATCCTTGCCCCCGATTTGGATGGGCTCAACCCTGCCCCCCGATTTGGAGGGGTTCCATCCCTGCCCCTGATTTGGGGGGGCTCAGTCCTGCCTCTCATTTTTGGAGGCGAATCCGCGGGCAGAGCCTCTTCCTGTTTCGGGGGCCGCGCTGGGTGTGGCCCCGTGTCTCCCCCCACCGTGTCCCCCCCTGTGTCCCCCCTCTTGCCCCCCAGCCGTGTTCCCTTCCTTTAGGGGGGGAAATTGTCAGCCTTTGGGGGGGATGTCACCCTTTTTGGGGGGGATGTCACCCTTTTTGGGGAGGATGTCACCCTTTTTGGGGGGGTGTCACCCTTTTTTGGGGGGTGTCACCCTTTTTGGAGGGGCGTCACCTTTTTTGGGGGGGTTGTCACCCTTTTTGGGAGAGTGTCACCTTTTCTTTTGAGGGGGGGAAAGCCCCCCCAGCGATGGGCAAACCCCACCCAAGGGAGGGGTTCCAACCCCTCCCCGTGACTCATCGGGGGTCCCCAGGGTGCCTCGGGGCGGGGAGTGGGGAGGGACACGGGACACACCCTCAGGACGTGTGTCCCCCCCATCTCCTCCCTCCTGCCCCCCCTTTTTGTGGCCAGAGCTGAGTCATCCCCGAGTCATTCCCGGCTAATTCCCGGTGGCTGGAAAACCGCTCATCCGTCTAATGAGCGGTGCTGGGCTTGGCGGGGCGGGTTGGGGTGCCCAGGAGGGGGTTTTGAGGTGCCTGGCCGAGCTGTGCCCCCCATCCCCCCCGTGGCCCTCCCAATTTGTCCCATCTGTGTGATGAGCGGGGCCAGGCTCAGCAAGAGGGGAAGTTTGAGGTACCCAGGGCAGGGGTTTGGGGTGCCCAGGTGGGATTTTGGGGTGCCCTGCTGAGCTGTGCTGCCCCCTGTGCCCCCCTAGACCCCAGGATGCCGTCCCAGATGGAACACGCCATGGAGACCCTCATGTTCACCTTCCACAAGTACGCGGGGGACAAGGACCACCTGGCCAAGGAGGACCTGAGGGCCCTCATGGAGAAGGAATTCCCAGGATTCCTGGAGGTGGGGAAGGATCCGGGATGGGGGGGACACCAGAGTACCTGGGGGGGCCCTATAGATCTCTGGGGTCAGCTCCCTTAGAACCTTGGGATGGGATCCCACAGAACCTTGCGATTTGATCCCACAGGACTCTGGGATTAGATTCCATAGAACCCTGGGATTGGATCCTGTACAACCCCAGGAGTGAATGCCATAGAGCCCTGGGATTGAATCCCATAGAGTCCTGGGATTGGATCCCATCAAATTCAGGGATTGAATTCCACAGAACCCTGGGGCTGGATCCCTCAGAACCCTGGAATCAAACCCCACTGATTCCAGGATGGAATCCCAGAGCACCCTGGGATCAGATCCCACTGAACCCTGGAATTAGGCACCCCAGGATCGGATCCCAGAGAACACCAGGGCTTGGCCCCACAGTACCCCAGGATCAAATCCTACAGCACCCTGGGATCAGATCCCAAAGCACCCCTGTGCTCCTAGAGATCAAAGCCTGGAGCACCATGGGATCAGATCCCATAAAGCTGGGATTGGGTCCTATTTCAGCCCGGATCAGCCCCTAAAGCACCCCAGGATCAACCTCTGCCAGGATGGGCCCCCCACTCACTCCCTGTGCCCCCTGTGGGTGGATGCTGAGCCCCCCCGGGTGGGTGCTGACCCTGTGCCTCCCCCTTGAACCAGTGAGACCCCCTGGCCCTGGAGAAGATTCAATTCCCAATCCCTGGAGAAGATCTTCCCTGGAGAATATCTTGAAAGATCCCAATTCACACACACACACCATGGGCACCCCATGACACCCCCTGGGTGGCTGACCCCGTACCACTCCTGAAACAGCGGGACCCCGTGGCCCTGGAGAAGATCCTTTGGGATGTGGAGCAGAGCCGGGATGGGTGTGAGGGGTCCCCAATGACCCCCCTGCCCCTCGTACCCCCCTGGGTGGGTTCTGACCCCCCTGGATGGGTGCTGCCCACAAACCTGGGTTGGTGCTGACCCCGTTTTCCCCCCCAGAACCAGCGGGACCCCATGGCCCTGGAGAAGATCCTGAGGGACGTGGAGCAGAGCCGGGATGGCCGGGTGGGCTTCCAGGGTTTCTTCTCGCTGGTGGCCGGGCTCACCATCGCCTGCAACGATTACTTCGTGCTGCACATGAAGCAGAAGGGCCGCAAGTGAGGGGGCACCTGGGGGTGCTGAACCCTCCCCCAAGGGGTGCTGACACCCCCTCACACCCCTGGGTGGTGCCTTAACCCACCTCTCCCAGGTCCTGCCTTAACACTTCAAGGTCAAGGTTTTGCTCCCACCACCCCCCTGGGTGCTGCCCCCCATCCTGGGGTGCTGAGCCCCTCGAGGGGTGATGCCCCCTCACCCATGGGGTGCAGCCCTCACCCACCCCTGGGTGCTGCCTTGACCCCCCAGAGTGCTCCCACCCCCATTCTGGGGTGTTTCCCCCCACCCCTGGGTGCTGCCTTGACCCTCCCCCTTGGGTGCAACCCCCCTCCACGCCCATGGGGGCACCCCCCCACCACCTAAGGGGTCCTGCCCTGACCCCTTTCCCCCCCCAGGGGTGCTACCTTGACCCCCCCACCCCAAGTGTTGACAACCTCCCTTAAATAAAGATGTTTTGTATTACACTGGAACTGCCTTGTTCTTGGGGTCACCCCGGGGCCGCATGCCCTGGGGGTCCTTTTGGGATCCCCTTGGGGTCCCATCCCCTGGTGGTCGGTAGGGGTCTATGGGTGTCCATAGGGATCTGTAGGTGTCCATAAGAGTCTATAGGTGTCCTTAAGAATCTATAGGGGAATGTAGGAGTCTAGAGGTGCCTATGGGTGTCCATAGGTGTCCCTAGGGGTCCATAGGTGTCCCTCAGGGTCTGTAGGTGCCCAGAGGTGCCCAGAAGTGTCCATAGGGGTCTATAGGTCTCTATAGGAGTCCAGAGGTGTCCATAGGGATCTACAGGGGCCTATGGATGTCCATAGGGGTCTATAGGTGTCTATGGGTGCCTATAGGTACCCCCTATAGGTGTCCTGAGGGGTCCGTAGGTGCCCCTGAGGGGTTCTCGGGGGGTTCCCTGGGCGTGGTCAGCGAGGCCCCGCCCCCCCGGAAGCCGGGAGTGCTCCGCCTATGACGTCACCGAGGGGCGGGGTCTTCGCAGAGCGCCCGTACCGGTCACCGAGTGCGGTGGGACACGGGGAGGACACGGGGGGACACAGGGGGACACGGTGGGGCTGGAGGGGCTCGAAGGCACTGGGGACGGGGATCGGGGAGTTGAGGGGTCGGCGCGAGGGGTTCAGGGGCTGCACGGGGGTCCCGCGGGTGGGAGTGACGTCAGTGCTGGGATTGGCAGCGCTGGGACGGGGGTGACACGTGGGATGGCACATGGAGTGGCGGTGACGTGTGACGTCATCGCCCGACAGGGCAGAGACGGGAGTGACATCAGCAGTGACATCACCAACTGTGTGTGACATCATCGGTGACTCCAGTCACAGGGTGTGACATCACCAGTGACCCCAACAAACTGGTGTGACATCACGAGTGACTCCAGTGGCATCCCCAGTGACACCGGTGACATCCCCAGTGACCGGGTGTGACATCCCCAGTGGCATCCCGTGATCCCAGTGTCCCCTTGGCCATGCTCCGCTGTGCCCTGTCCCTGTCCCGTGCTGTGACCTCTGTCCCTGGTCCTCATCCCCGTCCCCCTCTGCTCCGGTGCTGCCACTGCCCAGTGTCCTCCCACTCGGCAGCCCCAGAACCCCCTCAGGACCTGGCTGTCCCCAACGCCTCCTGGAGTGACACCATGAGGCGCCACTACGGCCACCTGGAGGCCACCAAGGGCTGGACCCGCCTGCCGTCCTTCCGCCGTGCCCAGCACCACTTCCCGGGTAGGTGACACCAGTCCCCAGTGTCTCCTCGGTCCCCTCAGTGTCCCCAAACCCCTCAAACCCCCCTGCCCCCACTTCCCAGATGTGTGTGACACCAGTGTCCTCAGCATCCCCAACGTCCTCATCACCAGTGTCCCCAAGCCCCCCAAACCCCCCAGCACCATTTCCCAGCTGTGTGTCCCCAATGTCCCTAAACCCCTTTGTCACCTCAGTGTGTCACCGTGCCTGTCCCCCTCTGTGTCTCCGGGCAGGTCTGGGAGGTCCCTGGGCAGGTCTAGGGGGTCCCCAGCAACCCTCCCACCTTGTGTTGTCCCCACAGGGGCCGCAGGGACATCGGGGGACACACGGCTATTCCCGAGGGCCATCGAGGGACCAGGAGATGGCTTCGAGTACGTCATGTTCCTCAGTGTCCCCACGCGGCGCCTGCGCTGCCTCTGCCAGCCCGGGCCCTTCCTCGAGGGACACCC